GAGCATTACCTAATTTTATAATGTAATCACATAACTATTTCTTTTCTTTCTACACTTTTTTTTTTTTTTAAAAAACCAGTAATTTGACCAGGCGTGGTGGCTCACACCTATAATCCCTGCACTCAGGAGGCCAGGGCGGGTGGATGGCCTGAGCTCACGAGTTGGAGACCAGCCTGAACCAGAGCGAGACCCTGTCTCTAAAAATAGCTAGGTGTTGCGGCAGGAGCCTGTAGTCCCAGCTACTCAGGAGGCTGAGGCAAGAGACTCACTTAAGCTCAGGAGTTTGAGGTTGCTGTGAGCTATGACACACTATCGCACTCTACCAAGGGTGACAAATCAGACTCTGTCTCAAAAAAAAGAAAGAAAGAAAGAAACTAGTACCTTGCCTGGTCCCTGTGCCATGGTTTATCTCAGCAGTAGAGCTCTCTTGCCCCTGAGATTTAAACTCTAAGTTTGATGGCACTGATGTATGTGTAGTAATAAGAAAATAAGACTGAATTGATACCAAAGGCAGACATATATAAAAATATAAGAACCTGAATCTGAAGACAAAAAATTGAGAGAGATATAGTTAAAGTCTAAAAGTCAAAGTCAAGTAGTCGATAAACCCAAATGACCATCCATCCCTGGATAAAATGAAGGAGGGTACCCCGAAGGTCAGCAAGTGGCTTTAGGGTAAGTAAAAGGAGAGACGATGTTGTATTTATGGAATTCATTCTGTCCCATGGTGACGGAGGCTGAAAAGACAGAAGACTTCAAACAAGGCAGATTAATTCTTCACTAACCTAATGGATTTTAAGGGAGGCCAAGTGTGCCCTAGGGTAGCATCCCTAACCTTTGAGGTTGACCACAGACCAGACAACCAAACTCTTACAAGAAACCTCAAGGCCATCTTCACATAGACTACACTAGCCTACAAGACAATGGGTCAGACATATTTAGCAAGTTTTAATTCCGACTATAAAGCAAGAATTCACTCTATAGAATATGTAGTAAAAAACAATAATCTGTCCACCAGTCTACTAAACCAGTCTACTAAACTTCTAAGCTACAGAAGAAAGGTATCCCTGATCAAAAATCTTACCAAACCCAAACAAAAATGAAAAGACTCATTTACTAGTTCATGGGCTCTCCAAGGAATAGGAGCCCTCCTTGTTTTCCCCTCATTTATCCCAATGTCTAGCATCTAGTAGGGTTTAATAATTATGATGTTAACAAGTTCTGCTCTAAAACTATAAATACCTCCCAGAGGGTGTTAAACTATTTATAATTAGTCATTTACACCACCGTGGGTTTGACAAATGTGGAGTTAAAAACAAATGTGGGATGAACAAATCGCAGAAATTATCAAAGCATGTATGTTGGAATGGTTGGAAATATGAAAGAAACCACCAACATCTCCTTGGGCCCTGGAAAATTCACTACTAAGATCATTACATCCAGAGATTAAAGTTAAAGGGCAAACTCCAAAACATATATGAAATTCAAAACAATGCCTAGAAAAGCATTAGTTTAGATTATTTAAATGCTATTAACATCATACCAGGAAAAGCATTTATTCTAGAGTGTACTAACCTAGTTGCTGTTCAACTAAAATAATTTTTTTTTTTTTTGGAGTTTCACTTTGTCGCCCTTGGGCAAACTGTGGCATCATAGCTCATATCAACCTCAAATTCTTGGGCTCAAGTGATCCCTTTGCCTCAGCCTCCCAAGTAGTTGGGTCTACAGGTATGTACCACAATGCCCAGCCTCACTCTTGCTCAGGCTGGTCACAAACTCCTGAACTCAGGTAACCCATCTACCTTGGCCTTCCAAAGGGCTAGAATTACAGGGGTGAGCCACTGCACCCAGCCCTAAAATAAATTTTTAGTTAGCATATAGTCTTTTACTCCCATATACACATCCAAAACTCATCTTTTTTATGAGCCTAAGCCCAATACAGAAATTCAATATGTATCTGCCAAAAATAAATGCCTATTAGATCTGTAACTAACTTATCTTTGCAGAGTAATACAGCACTCTCTCCAATAATATAAATTTAAATTATCAATTATTTAACACCAATGATCTCATCTAACATTTCTCTTCTTCCCTGCCTTCCCAACACAATTGGCACTGTAATTAGTATTTTGCTTCAGAAACCATAAACCATCTGAATTCTACTTTGGCAAACCCTGGAACCCACTCCATGACAAAAGGTAAATCGACTGACAGCCTCTACCACCGGAAGAAGCAGAGTCTGGGGCCAGCTGTCCAAAACTGTTGTGTGTCATCACTTTGACCTCTCTGTGTAAATCCCACCTTACTACGGGACAAGAGGGTTGGAAATGGGGGGAGGGTCAGGAGGTGATACAGTTTCACTGAGGAGACGGAGAGTCAAATGGCCAGTAAAAAGCTGAAAATTGTGACTTTTGTGACATAACACTCTCACAAGACAGAGATCCCAGTGGCCACGGTTTCTGCTAAGAGCCATGTTCTCCAGTAGCACACAGCACAGTCTGTGAGATGATGCAGCACACTGACCTGTATATAACACACACTCATGGAATTAAAGGATTATTAGGATACAGATGTCCAAACACTGCCAAAATGTGAACCCACCAACACAATGAAAGTGCGAGCAACAGCAGTATCACAAGTTGAAAGGATGACAGCAGCTTTGCCCCACACAATCTCATGTGCCAATAATTGGGCCACAAGGCCTGGCAACATTAGACAGCCTATACCGTAAATTCTATTTCTGTGTGTTTGAAAAGAACCTGGGAGTAGGACCTCCTGAAGAGTAACAGCCATTCCTCCCATCTCTAAATATATCAAGACACCCAAAGGTCAAAGGTTCAAGGTTAAGGAGGTCAAAGTTACAAGGTTAAGGAAACATCAAAGCAATAAATCCATGTATCCTTGTAAATGAGAAATAAATAATTATGCATATATACTGTACTCTGTTATAATATGGGCAATAAGGAGAGAAAAAAAAGAGAAGTAAATTAACATTAATGTGCAAACTCATAAGTCCCAAGACCTCAGACTAATGGAAGAAGTACAAAGCCACAAAAGCACCAGTCCTCAGACAGTCCTAAGTGACAAGTGCCTCCAAATGACACTGCTATGCTTTCCAGTCTCAAAGAAACAAGGAATGAGGCTGGAAGGACAGCCTTCCTGCTCACCCACCCAGACCCTTACACAGCAACCATCACTGTCAGATGATGAAAAGCCGCTAGAGGAAAACATGGGCTGTGGGCGCCTGAAGGCTCCGTAGAGCCCAGAGACCACAGCATCAGCCAAGGGCTGGCTCCAGAACATCAGGCACAAGTGCCCAGAAGCCTCACACACTGTGTATCGAAATTCTGCTGGTGGCAGAAAAGTGGCTGTGAGACCTCTAACAGAACACCACAATCAAATGCAAGTATCACAGGCGAATTCTTGAGTGATATTTCTGAACAGTGCATAAGCTTTAAATTTACACCCCAAATCAAAAAATAAAAAGTTAACATTATACTTATGCATCCCTAGCCACAGAATTTCAGGATTCTGAAAGGGATCTTGGAAATCTTCCAATTCAACTCTCTCTTTAAATAGCACAGAGTGATTAAGTAACTCAACTAAAGTTTAAAAAAAAAAAAAACAAGTTAGTTAGAAGAAGCAGGACCCAACTCTCCCAACAGTTTATTCAAAGCTTTTTCCAACTCAGGGAAAAGTGACCTTGAAACTAGGTGGATGACAAAGGTACAACGTTCTCGGTCACCAAGACAGCAAGCACACAGTAGTGATGTCAGTAAGAGCAAAAGCACAGGTGAAATTGTGAGGAGGGTAACAACTGCAGGCAAATTTTGAAAGTGAACATTACTTTGTGGAAGCCGTGGCTTTAATCTGAGTGTTAGCGGCAATCTAGTGCCTCCATCCAGGGAAATCTATGCATTGTGTAACCTAATTTAAAATGTAGGGCCAAACAGATCTGGAAAAGTACAGCTGTATCCTTGTGCTTAATTTATACTATAGTGTACTGTAATTAAGCCTGAAATAAAAGCTATATTCTGAGTAAAGACAAAAAGCTCTTGTTAATGACATTCCACTCCCAATGTAGAATGTAACAAAAGGCTTCTTCATTTGGAGCCAACTGTCATTATACTTTGTAGCTTGTATGGGGCTATTGGACTAATATTTGCACTGGGATTAGTGTTGGGATAACCAATCAGTTAACTCCTCCACTGCAATTTTCTATTATCCACAAATAAATGGTCAAAAGGAAGAAAAGAAAATTGGCAGGTAGAACGACAACTGTATTTATGAGATTAAACTCTCAAACCCTTCACAGTTTGCCGGGCAACTAATAACCATTTGCCAAGCTGTTCATTTAATAATGAGTCAGCTAAGCCAAAAGCAAATGTTCCTTCAACCAACCAAGGCCACCACAGTCATATCCACACTGACAAGCTCCACTCATTTATGTAACGCACTTCATTTAGAGTAAGAAGTACAAATTGCCACGTAAGAAAAACAAACTTTCTCTTTCACCAAATGCAAACTGTACTGTGCTTTCAAAAATAACTCAAATTTATGTGATTTTTGTAATTTATGGAAGCCAAAATGACCAATGGTGTGGTGAGTAGTTCCTATTTGTGTCGCTTTCCATACCAAGGGCCAGAAACTCACCACCCAGAAACTGTGATCAGTGATCCTATGATTTTAGGTCACCCTACAGAGTGTACACCCTCGTATATAAAATATATACTAAGGCCGCCCATTCCTCCTTGGGGATTATTCAGACCAAGCCAAGGACTCTTTGTCAAAGCAAAGGAAAGTGTGCATTACACAACACAGTAATAAGGCACGGTCTCATTCCTAGGGAACAGGAAATGGCAGGGGCTATTCCTCAAGAAATAAACACAGGTACATGTGTCAGAATAGGAGAGAGAACACTTTGCTCTTCTTCTGCCCATCTCCCCATACCCAAATGTTAACAAATGCAACCAGCGGGTATCCCCGCCACCTCTACTTACTAATAGTTCATCCATACTGGTCTGACATTTTTCCAAGTTGATCCGCTTTATCGCTACCCGTTCTTGCCTGGGTTTGCACAGGGCAGCCTGAACCACAGCAGTAGCTCCACTGCCTGAAACGACATGAAAACAATATCAGCTGTCAAATGGCACACTGTCAGGTTACCACTCGCCACCCCTCTCCTAAATAAATGAAGTCTTCTCCTCAAACTATTCAAAACATTACCATGTGACATCTTCTTAAAGAGTTTCCCTTACGTCCTAAAACAAATTATCTGGAGGAGAAAAAAGGAAAAACTGGATTTTTCCAAATGATTTATGTTTGAGGACACCGGGACAAAAGCATCTTCACATAACTCTGCATGGAAACCATTTCCATCCACAGGTCCTGGCATTTTCTACCTTCAGTGCCTTTAAAATATCTCAGGCTCTTCTTCCACCTCAACCCAAACCAACCACCCCCAGCCTGAGCTGCATCAGAGCTTCCCTGAGATGCTGTGTTCTGAGCACGCTCCAAGCTTATTTCTTCAGGGCTTCCTCTACAATTAGAAAAACAGGAATCAACCCTCACACGCTCATGTTGAAAACACAACTTTCAAGGATGCCAAACAAAATGATGCAAACGCGTAATTACAAAAGCTCTTGGCATTCACATAATTTTTCTGTTTCCAATGTTTCATGATCATTAGCTAATGCACTCAAACTCCTGAGACACAGTCATGTTGTTATCCATATTTTATAAGAGCAAAATGTAGACGTGTAATGATTTGTGGCAGAGCACAAAGAGCACTAATCGGCTTTGTATTCCACAGGGGCTAAAAGGCCCCTAGGTTAAGGCATCTCAATTCTGCAAATAATACCAAAAATGTCATTCGCATAATATAAATCCTCTACCACTGCGAGACGGCCAACAAGAGAGACGGCTTGTGCTCAGGACTGTACAAAGGGGGCCAGAGGTGACGAGCTGACTTTCTCACCAAAGTTTTTCTTCCAGTAATACTTCTCAAATAATCCTTCAATATCATCATAAAAATGGAGGGGGGGGGCTTTTGGCAGTAAGAGAGATCAGTATTAGTGTTTCTAATATATGTGACAAAAGGTGTGACAGAAAGACCTTTCGAGCTCATATTAAGGCTTTCCCATCCCAAGGAATCTCCAAATGGGTGTCTACAAGGCTGGAGCTCTGCCCTTTCTTCTGCCCTGTGGCTTCATCATTACCTCTGGCCCCCTGATGTGCTGACCTAGCAGGTCACCCTAATGCTCCAAACCCAGGGCTCCAACTTCAGAACTCCCAGTCCAAGGAAGCCCAATCTGTGTTCACCAGGGAAGAAAATCCACACTTACTGAACACCCACTGCAGAGTACATACTTTACTCAAATAAGGCTCCTTATTAGCCTTATTTTATATGCAAGAAAAGGACTCAGAAAACTTGCTGAAGGTCACACAGCTAATAAGAACCTGAGATGGGATCTGAGTCAGGTCTGCCATTCTCCAAGCTCTGTGTTTTTGTTCTACTTCCCAGAAGCCAAAAACACATCCTTCCCTTCCTCACTTGTTTTGGTCTTATTAAGAAAGGATTTTCTTCAGGCCTGTATAGTTCAACTAAAGAGACAGCACCTAGAGCAGCGGTTCTCAACCTGTGGGTTGTGACCCCTTTGTAACGATGAAAATACATCACAGCATTAGGAAGGCTGAGAACCACGGATGTAGAGGAAGGGCTCAAATGAGCTGCACCCCCCAAAGCTCAGCTGGCGTAGAATACTACTGGCAGGTGGTTTTAAAGTGCCCTCCTCCCTAATGTCACTGCTCACCCCATCAACCGCTGCTCCAGGTCACACCAGATTGACCTCACTGGCCCTGCAGATCACAACTCATTGGGTTCAATCCAGAATGCTCCAAATACCAGAGCCAAACACTACAAAGAGCCCTGCTGATAACAAAGTGTATTTTCCAGGCTCCAGAACAAGAGACCATCACTGAAGGGAGCTGCAGAGAAAGTGCTAAGTAGCTGGTTAGTATTGGGCCTGGGACCCAGCAGAGAAATCAACAAACATCTTTAGCTGCTGATGAGAAGCCATCATGGGCAATCTCCCTGCAACTCCACTCCTCCATTCTTAATCCACTGTCCAAAAAATTCTCAAATCAGAGGGACGGAAAAACAAGAAAGATGACTTTTGTTCATCTAGGCAGATACTTAGTAATGATATTGCAGAATCAAATGGTAAGTCAACTTTTACTTCCTTGAGAATTCTCCATACTTCTTTCCAAAAAGGCTGTATTAGTTTGGTGATTGTTATGTTAATTAGTTTGATTTAAGCATTCTATGCTACATATCAAATCATTATATTGTACCCCACAAACGTATACAATTATGATTTAATAAAAATTAAGTTAAAAAAAAAAAAAGGTAAACAAGAAAGAAGAAAATACATTCCCAGAAAGGACAAAACAAGCGTACATAATACGGGGCTGCCTGCCATAGTCAGTGAAGTCCTTGACTGTAAGAGTCCCTTGACTTCAAGAGTCCCTTGACTTCCATGGGCATAGGCAAGAATGTGGGCACAAATAACAATGTTAGAATGTGGGAGAGGTAGTGAGCAATGTTTTTACTAGAGCTTTACAACTAGAGAACTATTACTGCTTTACAACCACAGCTAAGGAACAACTGGCTACTTTTCATCTCTGGAAAGCATAAGTGGGAAGCTTCACGCCCTGAGATCACTGTCACAGCATGAATGGACCAAACCATTCATTAAGCAATTCAGGAGATCCTACTCTGAATCCTTAATCTTCTTCAACTGCAGAGAGATCAAGAAGAAAGTTGAAGGTAGAGGGTGCCTTAAAGATCAAGTCCTACACCTTACCAGATGAATAAGGAAGCAGGGTGTCATACCAGGGATTTTTTCCAGGCAGTAACTGACAAACACAGGATTAGCATCCCAGGTATCCCTTATTCCTTGTCCACCATTCTTTGCACCAGGTTGGTGTTTTATCAAATCGCCAGTGAGGATCCATTGGTCATAAAATCAATTTACTAGGTACCATGTTTTCCCGAAAATAAGACCTACCCAAAAAATAAGCCCTAGCAGGATTTCTATGCATTTGTTAAATATAAGCCCTACCCTGATAATAAGACCTAGTAATAGGCGTGGAGCAGTAAGAAGACTGGAATACCTTTTATCTGCCACAACTCCTTTCTCCGAGCCGGTGACACTTGCGCAGGTACACGTGTGGTAACCGTGGTCCAGGCATCCTATTGCACACGTGCGAACGGCTAGGGGAAAGGAGTTCACACATTACTAGCACCAGCCCCACCAACCACGCCGGCTTCCCCGTCAGGTTCCAGAAGAAGATGACTTAACTGTATTTGAATAAATGTAGATTGCTGTATTATACTTAATAAAAATAAGACATCCCCTGAAAATAAGCCCTAGTGTGTCTTCTTCAGAAAAAATAAATATAAGACAGTGTCTTATTTTCAGGGAAACACGGTATGCGGCATTAAAATGACAAGCTGACCAGCTGTTCTGGAAGGGTTACCCTAAGGAGCAATATGAGCTAAGATTTAATTAGTGCTTACTATGTGAAAGGCATGGTTTCAAAGGGTTTCCATATATCCACTCATTTAATCTTCACAAGCACCCTATATGCTAGAAACTAATATTGTCATCTTACAAATGGTGCAGCTGAGACATGGAGAACTTAAGAAATTCATCCAACATGAAGCAGTTAGTATATGGCAAGGCTGAGGATATGAACCCCTGCAATTTGACGGACAAAGATGTTTTACAATAATTTTTAAAGATTATATATCAAAGTACATTATTGGCAAGAAGTTTTGCTATAGAATATTAATTCATAGCTATTCTTGAATTCTCCCATTTATCTCTTAAACTCTATACTCACCGTATTGTATCTGACTTTAGAAATCACTAAGTTCTTTGGTTTCCAAATTTAGCTCGTCTTTCTTCCTTTTAAAGCAATGGAATCTTCTAATGAAACTGAGTACTGACCTGGAGCGGCTTTGCCCTCTTTTCTCTTAGGTGCCACATAAACTGTAGGTGTAGTTTACCTCCTTCCGTACAGATGGAGACATGAGCCCCAGAGACAGCCTAACATTATTGAATTGGTGTTTTCCAGGGGTATGAAACACATTATGTTTTAAAGCCTTACAAGTAGTTGTTTTTTTTTTTTTTTTTATGCCCACTAAGGAAGCTGAAGTTTAGATAGAAATTAGCTCCAAAGTCAGAGTAGGATGAAGACCATGGTTGAGTACAATCCCCGCTAACCTTTTTAGGACTCTTACTAACTTAAGACTTGGGAGGAATATAATGGCTTTCCACAGCCCCTTTAGTTGCATCATTCCTCTTGCTGTTGACTTAATTAGGAAGTTTCTGAGAATGTCTAATTATCATAGCATTGTTTACTGTAAGTGTTAGTAGAATAGTGACCTGGAACAGACATTGAGAAGCTTTTGTATTTGTTTGCTTGGGTTGCCATAAAAAAATACTAGACTGGGTGGTTTCAACAACAGAAATTGAAATTTGTTCCTCACAGTTCTGAGGCTAGAAGTTGAGAGCAACGTGCTGATTCAGTTTCTGGTGAGGGCTCTCTTCCCCGTCTGCAAACTGGCACCTTCTTGCTGTGTTCTCATACAGCAACGAGAGAAAGTAAGCTCTCTCTTGCCTCCTCTTATAAGGATACTAATCCTACTGGACCGGGGCTCTACCCTGATGACCTCATTTAACTTTAATTACCTTCATGAAGGAAGTAATTATCAGTATCTCCAGTTAATCAGTAATTAACTATATCTCCAAATAATAGTCACTTTGGGCTTGGGGCTTCAGCATAGGCTCAGCACCTGTAGCTCAGTGAGAAGGGTGCCAGCCACCTACACCAAGGCTGGTGCATTAGCACCCCACCCAGGCCTGCTAAACAGCAATGACAACTACAACCAAAAAATAGCTGGGCATTGTGGTGGGTGCCTGTAGGCTCAGCTACTTGGGAGGCTGAGGCAAGAGAACTGCTTAAACCCAAGAGTTTCAGGTAACTGTGAGCTATGAGGCCATAGCACTCTATTGAGGGCGGCATAGTAAGGCTCTGTCTCAAAAA